GACAGAGAGAGACAGAGCATGAACGGGGGAGGGGCAGAGAGAGAGGGAGACACAGAATTGGAAGTAGGCTCCAGGCTCTGAGCCATCAGCCCAGAGCCTGACGTGGGGCTCGAACTCACGGACCACGAGATCATGACCTGAGCTGAAGTCGGACGCTTAACCGACTGAGCCACCCAGGCACCCCTAGCGTCCAGTATTTTAAAACAGCTTTATTGATAAAAACTTGATATACAGTAAACTGCACATAAGTAAGGTGTATACTTTGATATTGTTTCACATATACATACAACCGTCAAGGTCATGAACATATGCACCACCAGCCATCTTACCATTCCACGCTTCTTCAGCCTCCACCCCACCAGCCTCTCCATCTGCAAACAACCAACAATAGGTTTTCTGTCACTCTAGGTTAGTTTGTATTTTCTAGAATGTTATATAAGTGAACGCAGACAGCATGACTCTTCTGCCTGAGGTGTTTCACAGAGCATAATTATTTTGAGATTCATCCATATTGTGCCGTGTATGAAAAGTTCATTCCTTGTCATCGCCTAATAGTATTCCATTGAATGGATATACCACAATTTATTTATCTGCTTACCTGTCAGTGGATATTTGGACCGTTTCTGATTTGGGGGATATTAGAGTTAAATTTGGCTATCAGTCTTTATATGGACATACACTATTATTTCTCCTGGGCAAATATCCAGGAGCAAAATAGCCGGACCAGGGGCGCCTGGGTTGCTCAGTAGGTTAAACGTCTGACTCTTGATTTCAGCTCATGGTTCGTGAGATCAAGCCTCAAGTCAGGCCCTGCACTGACAGTGCAATGCTGTCCCTCTCAAAATAAAGAAATAAACATGAAAAAATTTTAAATAGCTGGATCATATAGCAAGTGAACATTTACAGTGAGTTATTGCTTAATGGGTACAGAGTTTCCATTTGGGAAGGTGAAAAAGTTCTGGAGATAGATGGTGGGGATGGTTGTACAACCAGGGGAACATTCCTGATGCCACTGAATTGTACACTTAAAATGGTGAGAATAGTAAATTTTTATGTTCTATGTATTTTGCCATAATAAAAAACCTAATCACCTAGGAAATCAAATTTTGAGGAGTCAAAAAAGGAGGGGGAGGCTCTGTTGGACTGACACATGGCCTTAAAGGACTGGGGTTGGCAATGGAGCAAGCCTGGCAGGTCAGGAAGTACTCTCTCTCTCTCTCTTTCTCCATCTGTTGCCTTGGTAACTGTCTTGTGCCTTTTTTGGCTTCATCCTTTCTGGTGGCCAACCTGCTACTTCTGCTTCTCAGACTGGATGATGGACTATTGGAGCAGACAGCACTGGGGTTTACACAACATCACTTCCAGCCACCTGAAGAGAAACTGACTCATATATCTTGGCTCCAGGTTTAGAATTCTAGGGCACAATTCTGATTGGCTCAGAAAGGCCAGGTGTCCACCCCTAAACCAATCAACTGCGGCCAGGACTGGGGTTCATCATCACCCTTGCAGTTGGATTGGAGGTTGGAATGGAATGGAATGGAATGGAATGGAATGGAATGGAATGTTTGTTGGGCAGACAAAAGTCAGTGACTGTTATAGTCACACGAAGAAAGAACTGGCTTCATATTTGTTTGTCGTCTTCCTTTTGAGGAG